AATTAATTAAAGCAAGATTCATTCACCCATGTCAATATTATAAGGACAAACTATAGAGATAGGCATACAATGTGATGAATCTGCTTAGGTTGTATATTGGTGTTCATTCATCTGTTCACTAATAATGTTTAATCAATTACAGATATCCATAATTTTACCATTAAAGAGCACATCAAGTGACTGAACTAAATTTTTTGTATTTATAGCGAGTGGTTATTATATACACTGTACGGCAAAATATTTCCTTTAATATGAGTATCATGCTGATGCATATCTTTGTGTAAATAAAACAAGCCTTTTTTACTCTCAAGCCCAAAATCAAATTTAGAATTGTACGAAATAGCTTTATATACGCCCGCTTCCACCTGGGTGATACCGCAGACAGGTTACACATCCATTCTTCAAAGCCAGGGCACTACGTACAAGCTGGCAGGAGGTCTCAACATGACCGAGACCTAGTGCTAGCTAAGCTTTAAGCCTTTGTCCCCCCCAAAAATGCTCGTTGATTCTACAAGCAGAAACTATTACCCGTGTGCATCAGACTTTAAATAACGTAATCGAAGCTTCCAGGGCTGGAGATTAGCTGTCTGAAAATTAATGACACCTACATAAACGATAATATCATCTCCATCCAACGAAGAGAGAGAGAGAGAGAGAGACATATGGTTCAGTTTTATTTATTGTGCGTAGGGGTCTTTAGTAGTGGGAGGAAACCTGAGGACCCGGAGAAAACCCACGAGGTAGGAAAGGCGACCCTACTTCTTGTCACGTACAACCGGGGAATCGAAACCACCGCAGTTGACTCAATGACAGACATTATGATACAGCGCGCACGCGCTAACCATAAGGCCATCCAACTCCCCTCCGACGAATAGAAGGATGTGGTCAGTGTGCAGAAACTAGTGATTGTCAAGATATTAAAATCCCCAAATAAAAAAAAAACAACAGAAACAAGACGTGTGCATGAAAAGAATATTCCAACATCTAACCTTCGCTCAAGAACACTACTTCACTTATATGAAATTAAATTGGAGTAATCAAATTTTTGTACGTAAAAAGTGATTCGAATTTAATTTCAAAAACGTTTTACTGATATTAAGATAAGTTAGCTAATTGACACGTAAACTTGTTTCTCCTACTTACGTCTTTCATCTTGGCTTCTTAATGGGTTTCTAATGAAACTGTGAGATAATCTTGATAAAAAGGTGGATGCAGGGGGCTTTATTATCATTAACAGCGGTCATGAGAGCATGGCTTGAAAGTAATTTTACTGTAATTCCTGCATACTCTTTTGTGAAAAGACATTAAAGTGTGCACTGATCCACTTAAAGAATTTCTAGCGCAGCCTTTATTTACATGCGGATCGACAGGCAAGGATACGCTGCTTGCTGTATGTCAGGTCCAAAAAATTAGCTGTCCATCTCTGCCTATTTTTTTTTTCAAAATGATATAGGACATAATTATGTTACTTCATAACCTTTATAGCTGAAAACCTACCGGTACCCATACATTAGTGCAGTTCAATTTGATTTGAGTGAAAGGTTAAATAGTCTGCAGTGTTTAACAATTTTATCATTTGTAGTCTACCTCCGCTGATAACAAACAATTATCCTGCTAATACATGCAGATTTGGACGGAATTGTAAGCATAGTAATGACTTGGGCCATTAATCCTATTATTTCTATGTCATCGTTATCTGAAGCTTTAACGATATACAGTCGATAGCGTCTAATATTTATCTTGTAAATCAGGCCAGAGCTGGTGAAAGTAAATTAGTTGAAGAGAACAAAAGCCAAGATAAGTTAATTAGCTTATCCATCCCACACAATAGAAAAATAGCGACCTAGAAGCATTAACTATCTGATAAGAATGGTCTCCAGTAACATCTCTAGAAGACGACCGAAGACAAAAGGTCATTCATTACACCGAAAGTTAAAAAATAGTTGCAAAAACACAATTGTATTCTTCAGCTTTTCCGGTGCATCATGTTGTCTTTGATCAGATCTGGTTTCTTTTCACAAAGACTCATTTGAAACAACTGTTTTAAATTAAATTAATGAAAGAAAATAATGGCTTCGTAATTGCAAGATTAAAGGGTTCCGTTTTAGCGAAGCAAAAAGCAGAAATGCGTTTTTAATATCTATCGTAAAATGGATAGTATCATAGTAGAAACTATTCATGGATGTACTATTGATTAAATAGACATTCAAATAATCATAAAATGACTGCACGGCTTTGCTTTGGCTAAAGATAGGTTGCCAGGCAACGAAACATACGCCCACAGTAGTCAACAATTGTTTTTGCATATTTTTTCTTTTGTCAGTAATGAGAACATTTACGACACATGAAAATCTGATAACGAGTAATAACCCATGAAGTAATTATCAGAAAACATTAGAATTTGTTTCGATTGTTCGTCTCATGACCGTAAACAATTTATATTAACCTTATCCTCTAGAGTGTCCACAAGATTCTTCGAAGTGATCAAGGGCCATAACCTTTTTTTGTCTCATGACCTTAAACACTGTGTATAAGTTTAAAGTCAATCAAATATTAACTTTAGCATCAAGAGTTTCTACAAGATTTTTTCAAAGAGATCAAGGGCTATAGCTCCGACAGTAATTATAGAGTTGAAAATCAATAGGATTCTTCCTCTCATGATCGTAAACAATGCGTAAAAATTTAAAGTCAATCGGATATTAACTTTAGCCTTCAAAGCGACCAAGGGCCATAACTCTGGTAGTAATTCTCGTAAACCATTGAAAAACAACAGGCTTCTTCGTTTCATGGCCTTAAACACTGTGTGTAAACTTAAAGTCAATCGGATATTCACTTTAGCCTCTAGAGCGTCCAACAATATTTTTCAAAGTGATCAAGGGTCATAACTTTGGCAGTAATTATCGGAAATCGCTACAAATATATAGGCATCTTCGTCTTATGACCTCAAACTCTGTGTATAAATTTAAAGTCAATCAGATATTAACTTTACGCTCTTAGAGCCTCCACAAGCAATTGTGGACGCCGAACCGACGGACGGACGATCGGGAGCGACGACAATATACGACCACGTTTCAAAGTGGGCGTATAAAAAGTAAACATGACGATTTTTATTACGTTTGATGTGTCGATTGGATTTGCGGAGTTGATATCTGCCTACATTTACAATTTGATGCCTATGGGTAGACACAATGTTGAGATGTAACTGATTGTGTTTGATATTTCAAGCTAAAACGAAACTAGAATCAGTAAACAAACTGTTCTCCGCCTGATATTTTGAAAGCAATATTTACATAGATTTCTCCCATCGCTAATCGTGTTAACACATCGGATTGACTCAATCCAACATTTTGTTTTGACCTGATCAAGTTCATATCCTTTAAGTAGATATGCGGCTACCTGCCATATTTTGGAAATATATGACTAGTACTAATATCACACCACAACGTGTTTGAAGGGAAATGCAGAATCCAGATTGAATAAATATTTCCTTTATTGAGGAAAATAGTAGGCTATTTCCCTTATTTTAGGCTTCGTTGCCTTACTGAGTTTAGGACTGCATATAAAATGCAAGTAGATTAAATAATACTTTGAACCCTTCAACGTCCACAACATTGGTCATGGTGATCAAGGGCAATAACTCTGAATCTAAATGTTAGAAATAATTGAAATTCGACAGGCTGGTTAGTCTCGTTATTCTTAACAATACACATACAGTAGCAACTTCTACGTCCAGGGTGTCCAGAAACTACTGTGGGCGACGGGTGGGGTGAGGGTGACAAACCACATCATGATATAAGCGTATAAAAGAAAACATTAGTTTTACTCTGATTCCCTTCTTTTGTCGCCTGTGAGATTAACATAAAAGAATATGCTTTAGCGTCAATTTCTGCATCTTTGGCGTTGAATGTAAGTTAATGATTATATGAAATCTAGTTCTCCATTGAGAGTAAAGCACTCGTTATTATGGTGTAATAAAATATTACATAACACGTTAGATCATTGAAGCAAACACGCGTGTGGTGTTTCTGCAAATAACCGGTTTTATCTATCCTGTTAAACTTTGTTGATGAAGCCGAGTTTTCATAAGAAATAGTATTACAATCAAACAGAAGCTTGAGTCATTCTGAAAATCAAGTTTATTTCTAACAAGTATGAATGAAAAGAAAGTAAATTGGAGAAGTATTTTTTGTTGCTGTCTGTGAAAATAAACAGGGTGTGCAGGTTAAGTAAGAGATAGTTTTGATGAATGAGATGCTATAATGGGATAAATATAACTTATGATACTTAAAGACTTTACTGTCATTTTAAATTACACACTAGTGCAAAAACTTGAAGTTAAACGAGCAACCATTCATATTAATCTGGCTGAGAAGTATTAATACTGTTTTTCATTGTTCTCTGAAATCAGACCACTGTTTGATTTAAAGATAATTATTATTTTACATAATTTTGCAGTAAACACGGTACCTAATCTCATGATTATTTTATTCGTATACAGTCTGGCATGCCATAAACTATTCAAGGCAATAGGAATATCTAATTTTCTTCCAATTCTTCATTCTCGTCTGCGAGAACATTAGCAAGAACCACTGAAGCAATCGTCTGATAAATCCAATCTGTACCACCTTCCACCTCGTTGACTTGACAAAACCACAGTAAATTAGTTTTTGTTCGCGCGCTACAAAAGACAATCACGCTCTTCGTGTATCCATTACATTGCGGTTTCCTTCGCTGGCTTTGCTAATGTCTCATTTTCTGGTGGTCACGTGATAAAACCTCGTCATAAACACATCCGTATCCGGGCATGTTTTGACGTAGTATTCTTGTTTTAAATGTCATGAATGAAATGCGGGAGCAGAAAGTAAGATAGCACACAGCACCCTATGTCCCCATTTTTGCTATATTTTCGTATTAATAATCACAAAGCTTGTCATGCCGCCCCCTCTCTTTCGCCCCTGTGTCTTTATTCAGACCCATATAAACAATAATAAGACAGAAAGTGAACTTTTTAAAAATTTATTGACAATTTGTCACATTATTAATAATTCTATTGATAGTCATAATCAAATTACACAGCTCTAAAAAAGGAAAGGAAATATATAATATTTGAGCATGTTACGTCTAACACATGAAAACAGTTGTACAGTAAAAGTAGGTAAGAGTATAGACAATTCATATATTTATAATATTCAACAACTACATCGATGTGACGTCACCACCATAATCGCCATATTACGGAAGTTTTCGGTCTCTTCTTCGGTATATTTCGTTGACTAGAAACTAAACTTCTTAATTTAACATAAATCTTACAATCATTTTCTTTTATTATAATATAATCTAATTAGTTATTAAAATTAATCATGAATGGATATCACTATTTTATTGATATTGGCGCCTTTGGTATTTCACAAATTCTAATGAAAGAATAAGATTTGGGTTCACCCTTAGAAATATTTGAATTTTTGGGATTATGTTTAAATATTCGAATTGTCTGAAATAGTTACCTCGTGTGGAATGCTGAATATGATTCACCGGTTCATATTGAGACTAGTTAAGAAGGGAGTATCTGTTTAGAATAGAAGCTATTTAAGCCATTGCTATTTTAGGCACCAAAATTTGACCACTATCTTCATTTTTGTATTTATATTTTAAAAATTGAGTGGGGGGAGGGTGGGTGTATAAAGGAGAAAATATTGAACTTTTGTTAAGATAAATTCTTTGTTTTCTTCCCTTTTTTAAATTGTGGAGTAAAAGTTTGATTTATTCTCTGAATATTGCAAAATTATCAATCACAACCCACAAAATAAATTTTAAGTGAGAATCATTACGTTTCAAGGATGACATTAGAATTTCTGGAAATTTATTAAATAAACTACAAAAGAAATATAAAGCTAAAGACTGAAGAGCTATCTTCTAATGGATTTAATTAAATTAAAGCCAAACAGAGCGTTTGTTTTATAAACAAAGGGTGTCTTGGACACAATTCTAATTTTTTTTATAAAAAAAATTGACAACACAATTTCAATACTTCAATAATAAACAAAACAAAAAAAAAATCTTTTAACACAACAATTATAATGGAGAAAAATTCTATCTCGTGAATACACACATACAGATTACGTATTAACCAAACTATTTATAATATACATGTATTTATATTTATATCTTTGGCCATTAGAAGATAAAGCCTGGATGTTTATATATAGAATATAATAAGGTTTATTTAATATTCAATGATGACAGAGTTTATGCCCTTTGTATTTGAAAAATTAATCAAAACATGCAACATGTTTTTTGCCCTATAATAAAAAAAGAGTCAAGATGGTATAATAGATTCTATTTAGATCATCGTAATGTGACAGAGGCACTGGTACCCGAAGAATTAATTTCATTACAAAGTTGAATACATTATTTGCATTTTCTATAAATAATTGAATCTAAATGTCAAATTCTTAAAATTGTGTTCGGTTTTAATCGAAATTAGATTTAAACTTTATTTTACTGTAAAAATGTCTGAATCACTGTTAATTAGATTATAAACTATCCAGGCTATCTTTTGAAGAATACAGTAACTCAAGCTTAACGTAATGTAATGTTCACCATTCGGGCATAAATAACCACCGTTTTGAATATCATACACGTTTAGTATTAAATATACGTTTATATATTAAAGTCTGCTGGATAAACACAGACCTGTTTTGGCAAAAGCAGTAATAATGGAGTATAGGGTGACATCATTTAATATTATTCTATCACATGCACTCACTTCATCATGCTTAACACACATCATGTACACAATTATCAAAAAAAATCTTAGCTTAGCACTATACCTATACGAAGAAATTCAAATTCACAGGCTTAGATGTCATGATGGGAAATTTTGTAGTGAGACGAAGAAGCCTTTGGGAAATTAATCGAAAATTAATATAAAAAAATTTAACTCAAGCACTTCAGGCGAAAATTAAACAAAAATGTAAGAAAAGCCCCATGGTTTTTTTTATTAAATTGTTCTAAAATTATTACTTATAAACAATGCACCAATGAAGTATTCAGAAATCCTGAAATACGACACCACAATTAGCACTAAATAGAAAACAATATAAATAAATAAACAAAAAAAAACCATTTAAAGTTGGTTTCCTGTGAATTCAAAGATCTGACATGATGATACTATCATAAGGAACGTGAAATATTATTAATAATGTATGATTTTAGAGATAAATGATGAAGATGGTTTTGAACCAGTTGGCATGACAATGAAACCAACGACACTAACATTCGGATACACAATACACAAACACACTAAAATATACACACAGTCACTTGAAAACTACATGGTACATAGTCTACAGTCACCAACAATGGGGGGGGGGGGTGATAGGAATAAGGAATTCCTTGATAAATTTCAAATGAAAGTGATACATCGACAGACTGTGAGACCTTTCTTATTATAATTATTATAACCTGGTTATTATATTCGCTATTAAAGATTTATGTGTTAATGTATGATGTGACACCTACTATAACACATGTTGTTTCTATCTGAAAGGAATATTTGGGGAAATTTATTAAATAAATCAAAACCCAGCAATAAAGATATCAAAATGAGAAAAATGTTACATGAAATTGATTAAATTACATAAAATAATAACAAAAAATATTAAACGAAGAGCTATGGGTGAATTTTAGATTTTGACAATCATGGTTTTCACTACAACATAAAATCTGTTCTTGACAAGATGACATTATTATGCAATAAGAAAACGAAAATTATGCTTCGAGCATTTTCACGGATTATTAGATCAGAAGTTATTAGAATAAGTGGTTTGAGACCATTTCTATGATTATGCTCTTTTTTTTATTTAGAGGATAAATCAGAAATTGTAATCACTATCAAAAATATGATGAATTATGATTTAAAGTGATAAAAGTTAAAATATAGGCGACTAAAAGCTTACTTGGTATATATGCGATAAATTATGACTTAATGGTAGTAAACTAAAAATGTGAATTATGACGTCATTGATTTCAGTGCACAGATTCTGACGATGTATCAGTTCCACAAGATCTAGTCTTATGGTGGGTATGATGATAATGATAATGTCATTTGACGCGGTACAAGAACTGCTAACCAGGTCTTACTTACTTTAATAGGTTTAGAACCATGGGTCAAATACGACACATAAAATGCTACCGTACCTGAATCTCTGTGAAACTTGGTTTCTACAGTTCAGGTGTATGTCGAGTTAATTCATATAATAATAATAATAATAAGATAATAATAATAATACACTAGAGATAAAAGGGCGATTATACAAACACTATTGTTAATTCTTACAGCTGCCCTTATTATTTATTGGTATATATATATTTATATATATTTATATATTTTACACTTCTTTCAATGTCTTTTCGAATGTAATAAGAGTCTATATAATACGATGGCCTTCACCTTGACCAAAACCTTTTAAAGGGAACTGAAGACAGCCAACGGGTTGGCCACACTGAGTAGCTTTTCTACTATCTCGGAAAATAATTCCTTTTTTGGGCTTATCGTATAATGTAAATCAATAATAGGCCCCGACTGGAAAATGGTTCCAGTTCCTGGAATATCCAGAGACATCAGCCTGGCTTCATTGGATAGTCATGTAGGGCCAGTTGAAAGATCCACCACTCAAAAGCATGTCACGAATTAGAGTCTCTATGGGCGTTTTACCAACCAGTCGCACGAAAAACAGTTGTTCTATAACTTGGGCGCTGACGGTCCGTAGAGATGGAAGTCGTAGCAGCAGTTTACCAAATCGTGTTGGTTGGTTAGGATATTGGCTCCGTACATATTCCTCCAGAGCACACTGAGATTTCTCTTGAATACTTTCAACATGGTTATTGTCTGATAGACCACAGGCATCTGTAATATTTAAAAGAAAAAACAATAAATAAATGGTAAATCACATTTTGATATTATTATTGCTATGCACAGTCATTTAAACACAAATTATAAAGAAAGAATAACATGGAAGACGAGCAGTGTCACTATCTCCAAATTTTTCACCGCTTTTTAAAAACTTTTTAGATTTATTGTCACAATTTTTAAACATCTGTTATGTACTACCATTATAGAATTCATAAACAAAATTAAGGTCAGTACACAGTTTCACTGTGTAAACTAACTAAAACACTATTTCTATTCAGTATATACTGGACTAATTTTCCACACGATTTAACATCAGTACCCGCATAGAAACACATAAACTATTTATTTTTTGTCTTCCTTTGTCTACATCTGTGTCCATATCACGGTATATTAAAACATCGCACGCCCAAATAATTTTCTAATATTGAAATTACTTTGATCTTGGGTTATGTATATACAATCGACCAAATCCACGAAGATTTCTACACAAGATAGAAGCAAAACCTCTGCTCTTCAGTAAAGAAAGTTCAAAAAGGTCGAAAACTTATTGATTATCACTACAGTATTAAATTGGCCTTTATTTTCATAAAACATGAACTTTTAGATGTGGCCAATTATTCCTTATATTGATATGTTACATTATAGAACATTCTTTCTACCCAGATGTTTCAAATAAGATCGGTCTGCGATACAAAAATATTACTTGTACACACTGCAAGCAGTAGAATCCTAGATTCGTGTCTTAATTCACAAAGTTAAAGGCATATACAATTATCTAATATCAATTGCAAATACATGTACAAGGGCCAATTACGAAAACCAACATTTGTTAATAATGTGAGAATGGCATTGACCTGTTTATGGCAAGCAAGAAGCAGTTCACAACTGCTCCATTTTTGTATTTTCTCTATTTTGATCATTTATGAATATCAAGGTTAGACGAGTATTATGGCGTCTATGACTTTCTGGCCAACTAATGTCCGAATTCCTCGGATCAATGGCACTCCTGCAGGCTATGTAGGCACAGTCTGGCCGCTCTAATATTTTATGGACCAATATTTCATATTGCTACATTATTACAATCAATGATGGAGGGCGATCGTTATTTCCTCGTCGTTATTTCATATAATCTGGCAATCAATCCAATCTCGTTCTTGACAAAACTTGATTTGTTGAACACTAATCTCATCCCCTTAGTTCTAACGCCATTACTAGATGACTTGAATTCACTCTCACCAGTATCTCCCATTAGTATGCCATACTTTATTAGATATGGTTAAACGGGCTCTAAAACCCACACCTACACAATCAATGGTTCTTTTATTAATAATTTCGGGAGAAATATCTCGACACGAATCCAAGGAATACGGCGTCGACAACAGTATTCAAATCAACCCAGAGTCCCGTAGTAGGCCTATTTATAATTGGAAATTAATGTGTCTTTAACTCATGAACATCAACTTTTTTTGCTAATTGATCAAGGGCGATAACTCATTAATTATCGGAAATCAATAGGATTCTTTGACTCATGAACATCAACACATTGTATCACATTTTAAATCAATCGTATGATAACTTTAGCCTCTAGAGTTTACACAAGATTTTTTTAAGTTGATCAAAGGCCATAACCCTGACAGTAACTATTAGAAATCAATTGGCTTTTTAAAATATCAAGTCCATCCAGAAGATTTTTCAAATTGATCAAGGGTCATAACTCCGACAGTAATTATCAGAAATGTGTATAACGCACGAACGGACGCGACGACAATATACGATCACATTTCAGTGTGAGCGTATAAAAACCGATTTAAAAGCCATTATAAGTATTATAATTATATTCTTCCTTACTATTGGTTTCTTTTCCTCAAATAGTCCCAAACGAACCCACTTTATTATTTATCTATGACAAAGAGTAACATGTGTATAAACGTTAGTTTGAAATTTTTGTTAGAAAGTTGTTTCGAGTGTGGAATGTCTGGATATATAGATCTATATATCGTAGTGTAGGTAAACTACCTGTCAATATTAAAATCGAATATAAAGCAGACAGAATATATAGTTGACTTAGATACATTGATGTTTTAAGAAAGACGTTTTCCATAAACTATATTAGTAACTGCACTACATTTTTGTTATTGCGTAATGTCAACGAGCTCATTCGCGTGTCTTTTCTTTACTTGAACCTTTTTTACAGTCATTGTAGTACTACTTCTGGGATTTTTTTTTCTGTTTTATGTACCGTTTGATGTTCTGTGTGTTGCGGGAAGGCGCCCAGAGGGTCCCAGTTTCGATCCCGGTGCAGGTCAAGAAAGTACCTGGTCAGCGCCACTGTCCATGCAAGATTTCCCGTCTTCATTACCCCGGTTGATGTAGAAACATAGAAAGTTGAGCCCCATTTTATTTAATATGTTTCCATTTTAAACGACTCTCCTGTCAATTCCATCCCCCTTTTTCATAAAAGACAGCGTCAAATTAATAAATATAAACTGTGTATATATTTTAAAACTCCTAATCGGTTCATATAATAATAATATCAATAAAATATTTCAAAAAACTAAACTTCACGGGTTTTTATATTAAATATTAGTTTTTGTGGAGGCTTCCTTTCGAGATACTTTCCGTACTTCAATGATCACGGAATGGTGCCTTGTTGAGCGTTTCCGTGAATTGCCCACTAAATAGCTTAGAAGAAATGTTAAACAATGGATTTTATTCCGAGTGATCGGCTAAAGCAAATAGAGATATCATTCTTCTATTGTAGCTAATTATCGCAATGGATGATCCTCTTCAAGTATTGACACGCTAACTGCTCATCCAGCTCGTTCAATGGTTTTACAAAAACCACAACAGCTACTACGGTTGCAAGTCAGTGGCAAATATCATTCCGCCTTCTGCTGACAAACAGCGCAGGAAAAATCGATATTTTCCCGCCAAGAAGAGTAATCCCTTTTAAAACTACTTTTCAACTAACCGAAGACAAGCTAGCTTTAATAAATAATCGTGTAAGATTGTATTATTACAGAAACAAAATGTTCTTGCTTCCTCTCAATGATCACCATCATCACAATCCAGTAGGATCAAATCGTTAGGGAATGATATAAATACAAGTTTGAGACTTACTCTTGCATAGCAATACTTCTGATTAATTCAAGGGACTTTATGGGATTATTCCCTTTGAGTTTTCTACATAACATCCTTTTTATGTGTTTTTCATTTTTTTTTTTATATAAAAACTTATTTTTTCTGACATTTACGTTACTGAACAGTAATTTAACAATGAACTGATATGTTGTGTTGCCTTTGAAAATAGATGAAAATTCGAGATTTTAATGTTTAGGTATTTAATATAGATGCCTCTTTTAATCGCTGTACTTTAATGGGGGTATATACTACAGTAGGCTAAAGTTGGAATATTATGAATTATTAAATGCGATTTTAATTAATGCCCAATGGCATCTTTATGCATACATGTACAGGGAATTTTCAATCAATTTCGTTGTTTTAAACTGCATTTAGATCCCTCTAGTCTTTGTCCTCCGCACAATATAGATATTATGAGCTAAAATAAACATACATGTCTAGCGAATAATGATATATAACAATATGCACGTTCCCGAATGCGACTTATATCTCATCTACATGTTAGTTAAAGTTAGAGGCGCCGACTTGATATATTATAAGTGAAGTACATCCCTTCATATTACCTTCAATCTACCTTTATATTTTACCATAAAAGAATCATTATCATTTCTAATAATTTGAAAATATAAACAAATATAAAGGATATTGAGTTAATACGAAGTTCTAGGTGTGAACTCAATATAGTATGTGACATGACATCTGGTGTTTATACATTGACATAATCAATATGTCTATTGATAAACATCATAATGTTGGCTATATACATTACATAAGTAGTCCTAGAAGTTATGAGGTCAAAGCATATCGAAATCATCGATTGAAATCTAACATTTCTGTGTATTTAATAAACAGGGTTAATTTTATAATATAAAATGTGGAGTGGAGTTAACTTTGAATTGCATTACGAATAAGGTCTTTCACATTCAGCACTCATGTGTTATTACCATATAATAATTAATATTGTAATAACATATAACATAGTGTGATGTACACAACTCTAACATAAATGAAAAGTAAATAGCTTTGTCATAACATTTAGATCAAAGAAATAGGTAAAGCAAAACGATGGAAGCCTTGAATATTCCTTTTTTTATTATTAAAGCCTCAACATGCCAGAATAAAGATTAAAATACAGATCAAGATGGTGCACACTCAAAAGTACTTTTTTCTTTTCTTTTTAAAAGTTTTGTTTTGGCCCATCGATCAATTCTAACTTAAGTTTGGAACATTTAAAGTTTCCATTGGTTTCTTTTGATTTCTATTTAACTTAGACAAATGGAGTAACGATAACTCGTACAATCCAGCCCATTCTTTATGAAGTTATTTTATTCTATTTATTTTTAAATACCCGAGTGTACATAATACATAACAACAGCCATAACATTAAAATAGTACATAGTTTTGACTTTTAAGAGCTATGTCAACGATCTGATTTGTTGTACCTTTAAGGGTCAGATTAGCAATAATATGAAGGTTTCCGTTTAGACTTTTACATATCTTAGAACCTTGGCATTCTGTGTTGTTAATAAAAGGTTTATATAATATAAAATAACCCATGGGTTCTGTTTTTATTATATGTATATATTTTAGCGAGTGATATTTTTAACCTATGTCTCTAGCCTATCGTTTTATGTATTTTTACATCGACTATTATTCTCGTTCACTGAAGCCTTACGTAAAATCGTCGTATCTTATGTCCCTCGTATAATGCATTATCAAAACCTTTTAAATGCATCGCGTCGATGGTGAATAGAAAAGCGATATGCCTCGACACGAAATGTCGCGTTTCTTGAATACATATGTTAGAAATGAGAGCTTCAAAATAGTATGTTATATGACCTAGGATGGTGAAT